CCTGCCGCTAATGAACCCATGTTGATTGCCCCTAAGCATCAGTACAGAGGCAGTATGAGTCAAAAAGTTTATCATATCCAAAGGAACTGTCACATGTGGCATATCATTGTATCACATGTGTGCTGGACAAAACCAGCTGATCTAGGTTTTGTTCACCACACAGTTCACTGAACAATTTCTTCCTTCTGTGACTTCTGATAGTATTTTACTTATATAAAATGCTGAGTAGGCCAGTGGAAAACTTGGGGTAAGAAAATTACAGATGCCACAGTTTTATGATCTTTTCAGTGCCTGAGCATTCATGCTGTAATTTTTTTATTTAATTTTTAGCTTTTTCCACTGAAGAGATACAAACAACTGCAATTGTTATGCCGTAGTCCGGTGAACACAGAATCCTGGATGCAACAAATTCCATTCTAGGGTTATTTCCTAAGTGTCTCTTGTCCATGAGACACACACATAAAACAAATTGATGATAAGTGATAATCAGGGAGTTGTACTGGGGACTCCAGTGTGAATATAGTCTTGCTGCATATCAACCATCCCTGGTGCAGGTGGTAGGACACCTCCTCAATGTGGCCTTGATGACACCATAGAAATCCTTATATCACTTGTACTTTGGCATTTCACTTGCAAATCTCCAAAACACCATAAGACAGACACATTTTGTGTATCAGTTTCCTCCCCTAGAAAATAGGAATGATAATTATGCAAAATGTTGGAGGATCTAAGGTGAAAAGTATTATGTATATGATTATAATGGATCCAGAGGGCTCCTGTTATTTTAAGAGGAAGCTGTAGCAGGCTGATCTGGCTGTGTGGGGGATGGCAGCTTGGGAGCAGGCTATATCCTAGGGAGCTGGCTGTTAGCAAATAAGCAGAACAGTAGCCACTCAGAAGAGGCTACCCCTGGGAGAAGGGTTTCGCTTAGGAAAGAGTTGCAAAATAATAGACTGCGTGAGGACAGGCATCTGGGCAGCCTAGAGGCAAATAGCTGCAGGTAACTAAACAGGAGCCAGCTGTGAGAAGACAGGCAGCAAGGAAATGCTGCTGCCTAAGCAATGAGTTGTCCAGCAGGATAAAGGGGCACACCTGTGGCCACCTCAAGGAAGCCACCTGACTGGGATGGGGAAGGGCTTAGGGATCCCTTAAGCCTAGGGCCTGAGCTACGATGAAGCATTGGGCTTGCAGGTGGCACGGTAAAGAGCTTCTGCTGGGGCAGACTGGGGCGGAGTGCCTGGCTAGTAGATGAGCTACTTGGAACTACTGATCAGGTTGAGGGCATAAAGGACAATATGACCCAGCTAGGGGGAAGCCTTGTGATAGAGGTAGTGAGCTGGGGTTTATGTTTGGACCCAGTCCAGGGAGAGTTTGTTATAGCCTGCAAGCTTACTCTTGTTTCAGTTTAGTGTGGTGGCTTGGTGGCACTGTTAGGAAAGCAGAGGTCCCAGGGGTGCCTTTAGCAGGGCAGAGATGAGGCTGAACACCCAATGCCTAATAGTGGCCTAAGCCCAAGAGGGCCAGCGCACAAGCCTGAGAGAAGCAATAGCGAGCCTGAGGCCAAGAGGACTGAAACATGAGCTTGAGGGGGGCAGTAGCAGGCCAAAGGGCCAGAACCAAAGCCTGGAAAGGGGGCTGAAACCTAGGACAGGTGGAAGCCAGACTAGGGTCTAGAGCCTAGAAGCCCAGTCTGGCATAGTTGCCTAAAGCAAGAGGGTCTGGCTAGAGCAGGGGTAGGCAATTATTTCAGGTGGAGGGCCGCTTAGTGAGTTTTGGCAAGCCATCGAGGGCCACGTGACAGGCAGCCAGGAGCAGATAAATATTAATTTTCTAATTTTTTTAGGGGCCCTGCAAGACAGATACAATGGCCTGGTGAGCTGCATGCAACCTGCGGCCCATGTTTTGCCCACCCCTGGGCTAGAGGAAAAGGGTGGAGTCTAAGAAGGCCAAGGGAACAGGCATGGTGTGTCCTGATATTGACTTGGGGCAAAGTGCACTCACCTGAGCAATAACCAGTAAGACTTGAGGTATGGCGTGGCTGCAGGGGAAGGCAGAGCCACAGAATTAGCCAGTAAGGCACCTAGTACGCTGGAGCACTAACAGATCAGGGAAAAGTTTGAGACCAGTGGAATCTGGGAGAGACTTGCTGGTTCTGAGCACAGATGAGGGCTCACCCTGGGACCTTAGAGCAGCCTCCCTTTCCATCAATTAACTGACTGTAAGAAGGCATGGCAGCCCAAAGGGAAAGAAGGAGACCCAGGGAGCCAGAGTGGGTGCAGGAGCTATGTGGCCACCAGAGGGTGAGATGGCCACTCCTGGGGCCTAATTCTTCTACAGTGACCTACCTTTTCTTGACTAGCTCAGATGATGAAGCTAAGTCAGGAGAAAAGAATCTCTGGTATCACCATCTAAAGTCAGATAAATCTAATATTCCACATTCTCAGTAATTGACAGTACAAAAAAGAGATGTAATCAAAAAACAGCAGTAGTGGTGCAAGTGTCTAGGGGAGCTTGTGGGAAAGCAAAGTTTGTATAGGAATGAGAAACAGATAAGAAGACAGAACTCAAGAGGTGCTTGAGAGGCTTGGAGCTGGTTGAGGAGATTGATGCGTTTCCCACGGCAAAGCAGGAAGGAGATGAGCCATTGCATTTGACATACGTGAAGTGTAATGAATTAGAACGGAGACAGTCCATGCCAGAGGCAGTCACTGTGCTGTGGGTTTTTTGGCAATCCTGAATTTTTAGCTCTAACATAATACAAATTCACAGTAGAAACCTGTAAGTAACAGACAAATCAGGGCAAGCTTTCATAGAGTTAGAGGACTTAGCTCAGAAGTTTGTAATCGTGTTTACCTAAAGAAAAACATGATGCTTTAGACCAGTGATTCCCAGCCATGGCACCCTGGGATGCTGTGAGATCCTTTTAAGGGGGTCAGAGGTACCATGCAATATTAGCAATGTTAGGTATATAAGCACATACATATGGTTCGCAAAGTAAACCCAAAAATAGGAATTCATAGTGTCAAAGACCTTCTGACCTGTTTTGGTCTTTCTGAGTTCTTTGAGTTCTGAAAACTGCTTTTATTTTTCTGAAGTCAAAAAATGAGTGAAAGGGAAAAGCTGGCATTTTCCGATGGGTTCCCTGAATCTAAAAAATCTTATGAACTACTGGTTTAGACAAAATACCTTTCCGTACACTCTCTTTTTCTGGAAAAAAAAAAATCAGACTTCCTAACCGGGGCATAATGGTGTAGCTGCACTTATTCTTTAGATGATGTGATGCCAGATGCTTTGGAAGACCCATGCAAGATCGGATGATTGTTGTTGTTTTGTTTTTTTGCTTGAAATGGCAAAGTGCCCAATTCCAGATCTTTTTCACTTCAGGAGTGACTGGCTTCAATATGAGAAGGATCAGTCAGGAAGTAAATGTAGTAAGCAGTGAAACAGTTAGAAATGGAATCGTTCAATGAACCCAGAAATTGATGTATCCTTAGCTAATTAAACACATTGATATCAGAAGAGCCAGCATTTATAACATTATCCTAAGAAATTATTGCTGGTGTGTTTGGTTTTTCCCAGCAAGGACGTAAATGATTTATGTCCATTAAAATTTAATTTTAAGGACATGTCATGCTTTTTCATCTGTTTTGTGAACTTTACATACTATATTGGCTACACCAAACTAAATGAGAAGAACAAAGGGCATAATCTGGTACATCCATAAAGCCATAGTTACTGTTCTGAGTTGAACAATTGGTATGATATGGTTCATTTACTATATTAGTCTGTGACAGAACTTACATACTCTGCATCTTGCTGGAAAAGGAAGGAATTAAATCCCTTTATGGGGGTGGAAGAAAAAAATCTTGACCTGCCTCAGTTGTCAGGCATGGAAGGAAGAGACTTCAGTGTGGCTCATTAGGAGGCAGCTCTAAAGAGAGTAGATATTTGTTAGATGGCTGCTTTCCAAAGGAAGGTATGAAGCCTCCTCCTACCCTAAGAAACAGAGCTGGACAGTGGCAGGTTCATCCTGGGGTTAGTGCTGGATCAGTGGCAGGTGCCTGGCAGGAAGGCAATGTACATCTCTGATCCTGGCCCACACCTGAATTCTGATACAGACAGTGATGTCCAAGATGGAAGAGGCTAAGTGAAATTAAATATGTGTAAGCTGAACAATGAGAGCCAAATGCTTCTCTGTTACACCAGGTATTATTATTTGGTTGTGCTAATGCTGCGCCTTGGAGCCCTAGCCACAGGCTAGGACCTCATTCTGCTGAGAGCTATACAAAGCCAGTAGACAAAGATAATTGCTAGCCCACAGAGCTTACAGTTTAATCAGTGATCAGCAGCTTTTTGAAGCAGCAGTCTGGAGCAGCTTGGATCATTTCAGAGGCAGGCTGATGCATCTGATTCAGTTACTTCTGCTACTTTGGCATAGGTGAAGCTCCCAAGTGCCCAGCGCCAGCATGGTCAAAGCCACCCAGCACCTGTCTGCAGTGCAGATAAGGCCCCACAGGCCAGATTTGGCTTTTGAGTCTTATGTTGCTGACCCCTGGTCTTAGTAAGGGTCTACCTTTTTGGCAGGTGTGCCACAAATTGGCCCCACCCGCTTCCTGAGTGCCACTCCAATCTCATTCCCCTGGCCAATCTGCTGCTCTTCTTTCTGCTCTCTGCCCTATCTGCTACTCTGCCACCTGTTTCCTCCTTGATCTGCCATGTGCCACATACACAAGCTGCCTCTGCTGCTTGTGGTATGTACAGCAGATTGGCCACCCCTGATGCAAGTCATCAATCTTCCATGACCTCATTGCAATTACATCAACATAAGTGTTACATTTCCTAAAATAACTCCCATCTTATGGCAATTTTTAGTAGGCTGCTGCTGGGGCAACAGGAATGCAGCTGAGGCACTATGAGCCATGTTACTGAAATAACCTTTCATGGCCATTATCAGGGGTATTTGGGGCTGAAATAAATTGGGGCCATTCAGCTATGTTGAGGAATGAGACTAGAGGTGCATTCAGCCCATCTCCCACAAGTTGTGCTGTCTTGGCAGTAGCTACAAACCTTTGTCTCTGTACAAAAGCATGGCTGGAAAGGCTTTGCAAAGCTACATTAATATTTTGAATATATGAGAACACCATTCAGTAAACTACGAGAAATTCCAGACATCTATGGATGCTGAAAATGCTTTTAAGCACATAAGATTATGCAAGATGGCCTTATTGCTGTAATGCATTAGAGGATTACAGGAATCCCATTATTGATTTCCCCCCCACACCCCCCCAAATGGCATTTGCTATGGTTGTGATGCCTCGCAAATCAAAGCTACCTCCATTTAAGACAATCATTTAAAAAGTTGCTGGCATCATGTACATATTATTTTGCCAGTTCCCATTAAATATGGATAATTCCAGTCTGGAAGTTCTTCTGCGGATGATGACGGCTCATGGAAATAGTGTTGTATGTATATGAGGGTTTATTCTCACGTCGGCCTTGGTCCATAGTTGCCATTAGAGTTAGTGGAAGTTACAGTGTAGAATATGCCTAAATTGTGTTTATGCACATACTAGCACTGTCCTAAATGGTGTGTCAAGTGTTTGTCAGTTTCCTAACTATGGGTGCTCTCTGCCCTTTTTATCTTACATGGCCCATGTTTCTGGAGTTCAAGGTCACAAATTCCATGCAGTTAGACCATGGATGAGTGAGTGTGTGGGTGTGTGTGTGTGTATGTGTGTGTTCTTACAGATTGGCATCCACATGTCTGAATGGAATTCTTGTCAGAGATATTCTGCCTTGAGCTCAAGGACATCTTTCTTACTAAGGGAAAGTATATATGGCACTTACACTGCAGAGTATGAGAAAGGACGGTTTGTCATTGTCACCTTTTACACTTACTGTGCACTGGTAACCTGTTTCTGTTGACAGTTTTGCAGTTGGGATGAAATTTACTCCATAAAAAGTGTGAGTGCAAGACTTGTGTAACACAGAGATTCTATTAAAACCCCAAGGACAGGGTTTAGATCCACCGAGTGACACTCAGGGAGCTGGAGTTTGAACTTTCATGAGTTATGCCTCTGGTACACAGCGCTTTCAACATAAAGAACAAAAAACCATGAACTTTCACTTCTGCCTTCCTGTTGCTATCTGGTCAATTTGACCAGGAAACAGCAGCCACAGCATATCTTTGTTGTTGATGTTGTTTTCTTTTACAAAGTCTTTAAACTGGGGAAA